TCCCACCTGCGAGGACTTCACGGTGGAGGCTTTCGGCAGGACTGGTCGAGGTGGGGGGTACCTGTTCCTCTTCTCCCGGTCCAGCTGTTGCTTCGGGTTCTGGCTCGGTTGCAGCCCATTCCCACGAGAACAGTCCTTATGGTTCCTTGGTGGCCGGCCCGGCCTTCTTTTCAGACGCTGCTTGCTAGGTGTCCGTACCCGGGGCGTTTTTCCTGAGGCTTCGCCTCTTTCAGCAGGCCGAATCGGTCCTGTCCGTGACTGGTTCGGCCTTCTCCTTGGCTCTTCGCGTCTGGTATTTTGACGCGGGTATCACCATCTCTATGGTGTTCAGGTGGCTTTGTTGACGGTGTCCCACCTGCGAGCTTCGTCTTGGAGACAGTATGACGTTTCTTACGTTTTCTCGTGTTTTGTTTCCCCTCCGGCCTGCTCATGCGTCGCCTGAGCCATCCTGGTCCTTGTTCAGGGTGCCTTCTTATCTTCCCCTCAGTTTGTGGTAGCCCCTTCGGTTCAGTTTCCTGCTCTTTGGTACTGGTGGTAGTTTTATAGGTGTGCAGCCTTTCTCTGTCCTGGCGCCGGTCGTGATGGCTGCTTTCCGGAGGGGTTCTTGGTGCTTGATTGGTTTGGCCGGGGGGTGCGTCCTGGGTTGTCCGGTTGTGCTTTTTGCTGTTGCCGGCGTACCGTGTCTGGGGATGCGCTGTGGTTGATCCGGTTCCTTCGTTCCCTGTTTTCAGGGCTCGGGTCTCCCAGGTCGTCCGCAGTGTTTTCCTTCTTCCAGCCTGCGGTCTGTCTTTGCGCCCGTGCTGTTCAGACGTTTACAGCTTTTGCTGCTGTGTTGGTGACGTCTCGGGCTCATTTCGGGCGCAGGGATTTGTGGGTAGCGCGGGTTTTTGGCCGCCCATCCATATGTGCGTCTGTTCTTGGGCGTTCTTGTTGCCTTGGGTCGCAGGTTTGCGACCAGTTGTCTTGGCTTTGCGTTGCAGAGTTTGTGGCGGCCGCCTCCCGGGTTAGCCCTTTCTTTTCCTTCTCTTTGGGTATGTAGCTCCAGGGAGCCGTAGGGGCTCCCCACAGAAAACCAGCGTTGAATGTAATGAAACGCCATTTTCTGGGTGAGCCCCGGAGGCTCCCTGGAAACCCTCCCTCCCACCGGTCGGCGGTTTTTTCGCGTTGGTTGAAGCTTAGCTTCCGAACTGGAGCTTGGCAGCCGGCGCGGTAGGTCCGGGGCTTCCCCCTCCCCCTCCCGGGGTGGGGAGGGCTGCGCGGACGATCGGCGCGGCAGTAAAGTGTGATGTTTGCTTGTTTGCTAGTTTCCTTGGGATTGTAGGGAGTTTTCTACCTCTCTGTTCGGTTTTTGTTGTAGTTTCTTACCATGTGGGGTTTGTTTTGTTACGCCTACCTTTCTGGGTGCCTAACCCCGGTCGATGGCAGATAAGGAAAACCCCAACCATATGGGGTTTTCCAGGGCCATTGCTCCCTGAAACCTCTCTGAAGGGGCCAGGTTCTGGCACTGGTCCCTGGTAGGTCTGAACTCCTTAGCTAATGTCCCGGTCTAATATAACATACATTAGCCCGATAAGCTCCAGGGAGCCTCCGGGGCTCACCCAGAAAATGGCGTTTCATTACATTCAACGCTGGTTTTTTCACTGGAGTTTCTATTGGCAATTTCTCCTCGTGCTTCTCTCTGAGGGGCATGAGGTTCTGGCTCTTGTAAGTCCTGACATTTATTTACTTACACATCACATCCTCTGTAGGCCTAGAACTCAATTTGCTTAGACTGATGCCAGAGTCTAATGCATTCACATCAGACCGGTTAGCTCCAGTGAGCCTCCGGGTCTCACCCAGAAAATGGTGTTTTATTACTTTTAACGCTGGTTATTTGATGCGGGTTTATCACCAATTGTATGCTGATCAGGTAGCTTCGTTGATGGTGTCCCACCTGCAAGTTTCGTCTCGGCGGCAGTATGAAGTTTCCTGGCAGTCCTTTTGGCACTTCTTGACTCTTTGTAGGTTGGCTTCGATTTCTGTTCAGGTTGTTTTGTCCTTTCTCTCTTGGCTGTTTCTCGACCGTCATCTTATGCTGAATACTGTCGCCTCGTATCATGCGACTCTGGTGAAGCTGCTTCAGCATGTGTTCGGGGGTGTATGTCGCTTCTGCTACGTTCCGCAAGCTTTCTCGTGCGTTGTTTCACCTCAGGCCTGCTCATGCGCTGCCTGAGCAATCCTGGTCGTTGGACCAGGTGCTCTCTTTTTCTCTCTTCTCCTTGGTTTGTAGTGGCCCCTTTGGTTCAGCACTGTTTTTATAAGGCTTTTTTCTTGTTGGCACTGGCCTCTGGGGGGGTCGGGTCGGGGAACTTTGTGCTCTCCTCCAGCACAGGGGTTTCTGCTCTTTTGGTTCTGGCTGTAGGTTTTTTTGGTTGCAGCCGTCTCCTTTTTTTCTGGCGATATATGAGTCTGCTGCTTTCTGGAGGGTCCTTAGGTTGTTGATGCTTGGTTGGTCAGACCAGGGTGCATCATGTGTTGTTTGGTTGTAGCTCTCCTCCGCTGTCTATGTGTCATGGCCTCCCTGGCCATGGCCGCGCTTTGGGTTGGCCAGGTTTCCTTCCCTCCTTCCTGTTACAGGGTTCGGGTCTCCCGGGTCGTCGCAGGGTTCTCCTGTTTTGCCGGTTGCCTTGTTTTTGTTTTCAGGCGTGTGGCGTCAGCTTCCCGGGTCCTCTTTTCCTTATCTTTGGTGAGGTAGCTCCGGGAAGCCGACAGGGCTCCCCCCAGAAAACCAGCGTTGAATGTAATGAAACACCATTTTCTAGGTGAGTCCAGGAGGCTCCCCTGCATCCCTCCGTCCCTACTTCAGTGGTATTTTTCGTGAGTTTTCCATGAGTCTTCCCACAGGTTCGGTTGTTGCTCCAGGTCCAGGTTCACTTGGAGACTTTACTGGTTCTCCCTTTTGGCCCCTTGGTGGTCAGCCCAGCCTTTGGTTTTAGGCCCTTCGGTTTACTTCATTTTCTGTTTGGGTTATTGGGTCCAGCCAGCCTGCGGTCTATTCCCGTGCCCACGACATTTGTAAGTTTGCTGCGCTGGCTGTCGTCTTTGGTAACATGTCTTGGGCTGACATTCGGTGGAGAGGTTTTTGGAAGTCGAACAGGCTCCTGGCTGCTTGCTACCTCTCGCTACCTCCTGGCTGCTCGCTACCTACCTACCACCCACCAGCCTAAGAACTGGTGGGTGGATCGCCAGTACAAGGGCCTGGGGCTTCCCCTTTTCCCTCCTGGGGAGGATGGGGGAGTTGCACAGAGGCGTGATGGCATCATGCTCATTTGCTAATTTTCGTTTGGGAAGTTCTTTCCACTCGTTCAGCTTTCAGTAGCAATTTTTCACCAGTATAGGAGTTTGTTTTGGGGGTGTCTACCTTTCCGGGTGCCAGACCCAGTCGATGGCAGACATAGAATGCTCCCAACCACACAGGGGTTTCTATAGGCCATTGCTCCTCGTGCCTTTCTAAGGGCACCAGGTTCTGGCCGTGGTCCCCAGTAGGTTATCTTGGGGTTATCTTGAGATGATGTTGGGGCTTAGCATCCCCAGGGCCTGGTCCTTGACCAGGCCTCATTTTTGTTACACATCCCCAGGAATCAACCTGTAGCAGCTGTCTAACTCTCAGGTACCTTTTTATTGCTAGGTGAACAGGCGCATCTGGGTGAAAGAAACTCTGCCCATTTATTTCCGCCTCCACCAGGATCAAACCTCAAGACCTCAGAACTACGAATCCAAAGCACTGTCCACTCATCTGTCATGCCCCTATAATAGTAATAATATTTTGCACTCTTTCATGTATAATTGTGAGTTGTAATTGTGGGTGTGTGTGTTTGTGAGGAGCGAGATGGTAGTGGAAGAGCAGCCAGCCCAGCTTGTGCTGACGGCAGTACTTTTCAACAAAGAGCCCATTGTACTGGAATGCGAGAGTACCTACCCCTGGCTCGGCTAGCGAGGTGGTTTGAGGAGTTAGAGACAAGCTTTCAGAGAGGGAAGGTGACCAGCCAGTCTCTCCTGCAATCTTCACCCTAGGCGGGTGCCTGTCACCCCTAGGGTGCATCCATCTGAGTGAGAGGTAAGAGCCAGTGTTGCTTGATTGACTAGGGTGTCTTAGGGGTAACGAGCTAGTGGAGTCTGAACCATTTAGCCATGTATGGTGTGGGCGTGTATGGAGTGGGTGACCCCCCCCCCCTTTTAATTAGGTCAATATTATGTTAAAATAATAGGATGCCCAAATGTTAAATAGTAAGACCTAGTATTCAATTGCTTGAAAATGAAATAATTTGATTCAATAAATGTCTGTGTATAATAACAAGCATGACGTTTGTTCAATTCCTCCTTTTTGAATCACTGTCCCCTCAAGAGTTAAGGCTAGAGATAACTAGATGAGCCAGTGAGAAATTAAGCAGTGTTCCTGTCGCATTGTTTAAGTGGAAGTAAGATTTAGTTTGTGAATGAGACGGGTGGTGGCAGCTTATATTAGAATATGTAAAGTACAATTAACATCAGTATAACATCTCAGAACAACATCATTTTACTCTATGAGTCTACTCTCCCTACTCCTTCTTATCCCTCCTTCCTTCATTCCTCCTACCTCCACTCTTCCCGTGCGCCTCTTGTTTTCTCTTGCCAGATGGACGAGTTCCCCCTCAACCTTATGCATGTCTCTCCCCTCTCTTCTTTTCCTTCCTCCTCTCCTTCTTTCTTCCTTACTTTGCTTTTCTCACCATTACAGAGTAGATAGAAAAATGTGGTGTTACACCCCAAAGTACGCAAGACCTTCATGCACATTGATGCCAGAAAGTTATACATATCCATATCAGCCTGGATAGCTCCAGGGAGCCCCCGGGACTCACCCAGAAAATGGCGTTTCATTACATTCAACGCTGGTTTTTCATATAGTTTACAGTGAATTGTATTTATTAAATATATATACTGTACTACACTATCATAAGTAACACAGATTCTATTTATTTTAGTGGCCATCGGGATCGAAACTTCATTCTGCATTACACATTCCCCTCTTTTGCGACAAATGAAGTAGCAAGAAGTGGTCCAATCTCTCGACGTGAGGTAGGCCATGGAGCTTTGGCCGAGAAGGCTCTGAGACCTCTCTTGCCTTCTTACTTCCCCTTTGCAATACTTCTCACATCAACTGTACTGGAATCCAATGGTATGTTTGTTGGTAAATAGATTTTTTGTTGTCATTATATACAAAATTCTTCAATTTTTGTTGTTGTCATTGTAAGGTACGCATTAGGATATTTGATGCAGAGCTCCAGCAAAATTAACATCTTCAGTACTGAGATGTACAATGGAGTAGCTGTTAAGTTATTAATATTGATATGTACAGTATTAACTTTCTGGGGGGGGGGAGCCCCATCGGCTCCCCGGGAGCTATCCAGGCTGAATGGATATGTGTATCTTTCTGGCATTAGTCAATTCCTGGAGTTCTTACCTATCGGGGGACTACGAGCCAGAACCTGGCCCCCTCAGAGAGGCACAAGGAGCAATGTCCTGTAGAGACCCCCCTGTGGTTGGGAGCATTCTATATATGCTATTGACAGGAACAGGCACCCAGAAAGGTAGGCGCCCCAAAACAAACCCCTATTCTGGTAAAAGTATTGCGACCGAAGGCCGATCAGGTGGACAGAACTCCCCAAACGAAAATTAGCAAACTAGCATGACATTATAATGTTGCCGCGCTGCTGTCTGTGCAACCCCCCCTCCCCGGTAGGGGAAAGGGGGAGTCCCAGACCCATCTGCCGGCGACCTAACCTACAGTTCTTAGGCTGATGGAAGTCTGGTGAGGTCGTGCCTCTGGCTAAGGTTTTTGTTTCAGTTCTGTGCCTTGTGGTGTGGGCTGTCTCTAAAGGTAGTGCGTGAGCTGGGAGACGTATTCCACGGTATTCGGGCTGCATGCACCTAGGGTTCCCTTCCCTAGGTGCCCTGTAAGTACTGCCCTTGGGGCTTGGGGCCTCCTTCCACAAGTCACTTTGGGATCTACCTCCACTGTGCCGTTTACTGCTCGGTACTTGGCTGCCCTTGGAGTCAGCTGGGGTTTTGTTGCCCTTGTTTGTCTCTGGGTAGGAGGTAGTTTTCGTTACTGGCAGAGGCACGGGATACTGCACAGTTAGTTTTCACCTATTACAGCGGCCGGCTCTGTTCCGCCTGGGTACGTTGTCCTCTTGCGGGTTTTTTCTTTTGTTTTTCTTTTTTGCCTGGTGAGGGGTCTGCTTTTGTGGTCCCCCATCACTGTTCTTGGGGTATACATATTTATATATCTATATTTCTGTGTTTGGTGGTCCTTCCCACTTGGCCCCCATGAGTGGATACGTCCCGGGGGTTCAGCTTTAGCAGTTTGTTTGTTCAGCTTTAACAGTTAGACTTCAGCGCCGGATCGCAGTACCCTGCCTGAGCTTCCCTTAGCGTGTAACCATGGCTAAAGGCCCTGGGAAACCCCATGGGGGGCTATGTGGTCCGACGGATGTGACCGGATGTGACCTGAGTGTCCCCCTCGCGTCTTGCAAGTTTGAAGATTCCCTTGTCTCAGGGTGACACTCTCCTGTTTTGCCTCTGCCTTGCAGCCTGTTGGGTCGATGATTGTTTTGACCCGGAGTCATGCGCCGTGTGTTGTCTGTACGTGCTCCCGTTCACCCAAGTCACTAATAATGTTGTGCGGGGGTGCAGGCAGCTGCGGCGTTGCATGCCAGGTTTAGGTTGCTGCTTTAGGTTTAGGACGTTGCATGCTTTAGGTTTAGGATGAGGGAGTTCGTGTTGGTTTCGGGTCTACCCCTCCCTGGGTTCGGTTCCATGTCTCTTCAGGTCTTTTCAATTCTGTCCTTCCTGGGGAGTGTTTTCCCCCCCCCCCTTTCCTCACCTTTTTCGCACTTATGTCGTGTTGCTATTCCCTTCGTTTCGGGATCCTTGCACATCAGGGGAGCCGGTTGGCCGAGCGGACAGCACGCTGGTCTTGTGGTCCTGGGTTCGATCCCAGGCGCCGGCGAGAAACAATGGGCAAAGTTTCTTTCACCCTATGCCCCTGTTACCTAGCAGTAAAATAGGTACCTGGGTGTTAGTCAGCTGTCACGGGCTGCTTCCTGGGGGTGGAGGCCTGGTCGAGGACCGGGCCGCGGCACACTAAAAAAGCCCCGAAATCATCTCAAGATAACCTCAAGATAAGATCCCTTGGTTTGGGGTGTCTTTGGGCCCGTATGTGCCTCTGTGCGCTTGTTTGTCACGGTTTTTGTTGGTTCGTGAACATCTTCAGTACTTCCTCCATTCTTGGAACGTCTGTTCACTTCCGGTGAGGTTTCCCTCCAGTCCCTCTTTTGTATTCATATTGTCTGCTTCCTGTTTCAATATTCCTCCTGTTCGTTACCTTGTCTTGTATGTCTGTATGTATACCTTGCTGGTGTATGTACAATATGTGTACATACGACTGGTGTACGAGCCATGCCGCCCGGAAGACAAGTGGTGCGGTTCGTATCTCGGGTGCTGGGGCCAGGGTGATCGTTTTGTTTTTGGGCGGTGTACATGAGTGTTGGTGTTCCGCGTTCTTTCTCGCAGATTCTACGCCATTTTCGCTGCTCTTCTTTCCGGCCATAACCCCCTGGATACTTGGTGTTCTGAAGCGGGTACATACGACTGGTGTACGAGCCATGCCGCCCGGAAGACAAGTGGTGCGGTTCGTATCTCGGGTGCTGGGGCCAGGGTGATCGTTTTGTTTTTGGGCGGTGTACACGTGTGTTGGTGTTCCGCGTTCTTTCTCGCAGATTCTACGCCGTTTTCGCTCCTCTTCTTTTCGGCCATAATCCCCTGGATACTTGGTGTTCTGAAGCGGGTGTAGGGCGGCTCTGAATGGCGCCTCTTCCGCCTCTGTACTGCATGCCCCTCGTCTTCTACTGGGCATGCACCTATGGACGTTCTCCACTAGGGATGCTCCTGTTACATTGCACGGCTTGACTGTGTTGTGACACGGTGGTGTGTCTGTTTTGCAGGCGAGATTGTACTGTCTAGCGAATCTGTTGGCCGGGTTCTGGTTCTCGTTGTTTGCTGGGGTACTTGCCTCATTGTACTCGCCTCGTTGTACTTGCCTAATTGTGCTTGCGTATGTTGAGCTCTGGCTCTTTGGTCCCGCCTCTCAATTGTCGATCATCAGGTGTACAGCTCCCTGAGCCTACTGGATTCTATCTTCTCTACATTTGTGTCTGTATGGAGTCTGCCTTCACCACATCACTTCCTAGTGCATTCCGCTTACTGACTACTGACACTGAAACAGTTCTTTCTATGTGTCTGTGGCTCAGTTGGGTACTCAGCTTCTGCCTGTGTCCCCTTGTGGGTGTACCACCCTTGTTAAATGATCCATCCTTGTCTACCCTGTCGCTTCCCCACTTGACAGGGTAGCGTAATTGGCTCCTGACAGGGGTGTTAGGTGTTCTGTGTTTTGCTTGGACACTTTGCGTGTATCTAACAGTGACTACTTTGTCCGTGTTTCTTGTTCTTGTTGTACTGGGGGCGCTGCCCCGCATTTCGATGCTTTTTGTTTCTTTTTCAGTGCCTGGGTCTTTTCTCGATCTTTGGACACTCCTTCGTTCCCCCGGTCTGTGTTTGTGTCCTCCTTCCTTGGCTTGGTCTCAGGTCTCTGGACACTCCTTCCTTGCCTCTCTTTGGTGCCTGGGTGCACCCTGATATCCATGGTGTCCCTCTGTATGTGCGACCACCCACACCATGCGTTGTGGTTGGTCGTGTACATTGCATTACCGGCTGCTACTTGGTCTGTATTCCGGTCTTTTCCTTGCCTAGTTCTGTTTTTCTCCCCCACTATGCTACACATGGCTGTAATTACCTAAGTGTAGTTACAGGATGAGAGCTATGCTCGTGGTGTCCCGTCTACCCAGCACTCTTTGTCATAACACTTTGAAGCTACTGACAGTCTTGGCCTCCACCACCTTCTCACCTAACTTGTTCCAACCGTCTACTACTCTGTTTACAAAAGAGAATTTTCTTATATTTCTCCGGCAGCTTTGTTTTGTTAGTTTAAATCTATGAGGTTTTGTTCTTGAAGTTCCAGGTCTTACCAATTCTTCCCTATCAATTTTATTGATTCCTGTCACTATTTTGTACGTAGTAATCATATCGCCTTTGTTTCTTCTATCTTCTAGATTTTGCATATTTAACCCTTAAACTGCGCATGGCATAAATATACGCCATGAGTAACATGTCCCACAGTGCGCATGGAGTATATATACACCATAGGGTGCCAGGCACGATTCAAATGGCCCGCGGCTACACGGGGTTCACAGTAGCTTCCTCAGGGCTCTTGTAAACAGACGCCATTTAAAAAAAAAATCGTGGGCAATATTCTCCAGTGTGAGAGGCACAGTACTGTTGGAGCAACCGATGCTGGCGCATGCAGCATGAGTGAACAGCATTGCTGTTCAGCTTGTGACCACAGCATCGCCAAAAATGTCAAAATAAATATATAACTGCTATTATTTAGAGATGACAATATTACAGAGGACCCCTGACTGTGATAAAAATGACCAGGATTGTGATAATAGCAGGATTGTTGTGATAATTAGCGCTGTGGGAGAAGTGATGCTGAGGGACGGAGGGAGATAGCATCGTTTACTGACTGTGTGGCCACCTGTTACTGTCTTCATTCACCATACCAGCTCAGTGGTTCTCTATGGTGAACACAAATATAGATACTTCTATATAATCTATATCTATATCTATAATCTATCCTATCTATATCTATAATCTATCTTCTATATATATCACAGCCTCCGTGGTGTAGTGGTAAGACACTCGCCTGGCGTTCCGCGAGCGCTATGTCATGGGTTCGTATCCTGGCCGGGGAGGATTTACTGGGCGCTATTCCTTAACTGTAGCCTCTGTTTAACGCAACAGTAAAATGTGTACTTGGATGAAAAAACGATTCTTCGCGGCAGGGGATCGTATTCCAGTGACCTGCCCGAAACGCTACGCGTACTAGTGGCTGTACAAGAATGTAACAACTCTTGTATATATCTCAAAAAAAAAAAAAAAAAAAAAAAAAAAAAAAAAAAAAAAATAATGTGTGTATTAGTGTAATAAGAACAAAAGGATTATGTTGGGAGGAGCCATTTGGGTGACGGAGGTGACGTCGTCTGCATGATTTGTCTGGTT